TCCTGTTTCCCCCTTACACCAAAAACAATAATTACTCCACCATTTTGGTTAACCATAAACCGCCGAGCCGCCTGCGCCGCGCGATCAGAAGGGAGAGGCGCTCCAGCGCAACGCTCGGACAGGACCCCCGCGGGGACGAATCACAGACAGAACATTTCCGCTTTGCCTTTCAGGCCTAATTGGACATATGCTGGAGTGGAGCTGGCTAGCAATACTGTAATGTACCGTAGGGAGGAGGAGAGGAGAGGAGAGGAGAGGAGAGGAGAGGAGAGGAGAGGAGAGGAGAAGAGAAGAGAGGAGAGGAGAGGAGGAAGAGTCTGTGGCAGCTGCGATATATACATACTGTACATAGACACCCTGGCACACACATTTATGACGTCTGTGTGTGTGCACATGGCTTTGCTTTTCTTTCTTTGCAGATGAAAATATCATAGAAGATCCTTAATAGCCTCTGAATCCGCTCCTCTCTATCTCTGCTTCTTTCTATCTTATGACAAAAAGCCTGCACACAATAGGAAGACATTAATCAGCCTACAGGACTGTTGCACAATACGTGCAAGTCTCCACAATGGAATAAGAAGATCAAGCAAAAGAGAAAAAAAAAGGAACAAAATAACAAGAAAAAAAACACAAAAGGATAAGAAAAAGCTGGAATAGAGAGAGAGAGAGAGAGAGAGAGAGAGAGAGAGAGAGAGAGAATGGTTCATGGGGAATCATTTCCTCCCATATGTTGCTGTTATAATAGTTGAGTTAGATATGTGTGTAACAGCTGCTGAGCTGATGAGCAGCACCACTATCCTAGCACGCTCACTGGCATACACACACACAGATACACACACACACACACTGACCTCTAAAGTACAACACACACAAACACACAGATATGAGGCAGAAAACATGGGTCAGAGCAAGTTGAGCGTAACAGCGAGAAACAAGGGACTCTAAAAAAAAAACAAACTCTGAACTGTGTGTGTGGGTGTGTGAGTGTGTGTGTGGAGGGGTGAAAGTGGTGGATGGAGTGAGGGGTGGAGGGGGGTTTGTCTACAAGCCAGTCATATGGCGTGGCCCCCAGTGCATTCCTTTCTATTTACATTCCTTCACCATCCACAAAATGACTTAATCTGATGTTTCTCCTGATATTAGCTATACAATAATACCTTAAAGTGGATTATTAGCTCTGTGTGTTACCCTCGTGATCGTAACGTAAACTTTGAAGGAGAGGGGAAGAAAAGAGAGGGAGAGAGAGCTCTTCCCAAATCAGAGAATGAGAATCAGAGACAAAGAAATGAACTGACAGAAGGAAGAGAGGAAGTAAGGGCGAGGGAAACGGAGAGAGGGAAAGGGAGAGCAAGGCCACATCTATCAGACAATCTCCAGATCCCACATAAAGGAGAAGGCACTTCTGAAACAGCAGGCACTTTGGGGAATAACGCACTCCTCAGCTTCCCTTTCACATCAGGCCCAAAGCGAGCATGAAAACCTACAACACACACTGACAAAACATCACACTGCTACTACTGTAGGCTACCGACGTGGAGAACAAGCGGCTCCACTTTTTATCTGCATACGCCTCCTCCATGAACACAAAAGAAACCTGCAACAAACGAAATTGGAATTCATCTGAAAAATCCTCTAATCAGTGATAACTGAATCCAAAACAAAGAAAAATACTCTGAATGGAATATATATATATATATATATATATATATATACTGTATGTATATAGCAAAAGTGTGAAACTTTTTCTTGAGAACTTTCACAGGGGCAAAGAGGACAGAAAGAAAGAGAGAAGTCGACAGTTCACCCTGGCGAGAGAACTTCTTGGGAAATAAACAGCAGAGACACCAGAATGAACAAGAGAGGGAGAAAGAGTGAGAGAAAGAGAGACGGAGAGGGGAGCAAGAGTTGGATAATTGGCAGCGAGTCGAGCCTGCGTTCACCACGCGCCAGGCGGCACAGCTTGAACTTAAAGCGCCGCTGCGGCATAATGAAGATGTGGCCGCTAATTAACATATGGGGTGCGAAACAGGTTGGTTGGCACGTGGCGCGCTAAAAACTCCAAGGTAAAGTTATTATTGGGGAGTAATTAGCTCTATGAAGTTAATGCGCCGAACAATAGCTGCCAGCGCCGCACAATATGGCTCGCATCTGAGCGCGCAAAATAGCCCCCGCTAAAGTGCGAGTCCCACAGCTAAAATCTGTTGGCGACCATATGCTCTGGCAATTAATGCAAGACCTGGATGACCTATTGCTGAAGAGGGGACGTGTGAGCGATAGAACCAATAATTAATTTGGAGAGAGGGAGAGAAAGAGAGAGAGAGAGCAGTAGCTGGCTTTTAATATTAGTCCATTAAGTTTCTATGGACAGGGGCTATTAGAGGCCAGCCTGCTGTGAATGTAAGGGCATGGTTCATGACACAATGGCACCACAATGGCTTGGATGCACACACACACACACACACACACACACACACAGGTGCGTTTGTGTGAGAGCATGTGAGCGAAGGTAGGTCTCAGAGGGAATGGCTGGTTGGTCACAGTCCAGTTTGTGAGTGCGTGCGTTTGTGCGCGCACATCGACACATACAGTGTGTAAGGAAAACAAATTACACTGGTTGCGGTGTAATGGGAATGATTAAACAATTACACAGGCAATTGGGTTAGCCGCTCCTATGCACAGAGTACAGAGGTGCTGGTGTGTTGTGTGTGCATGTATGCAGTCTACAGTGAATGTGAAAATGAATGAAAAGCATGCCTGTCAGTTTTTGCTTTTGTGTTCCTCTTTCTTTTCCACAGAATGAGAAATATTCCGCTCGGACAGAGGCTGCGCTTGTGACGCATTAGGCGTTACACTCTGAGAGGTGTGTGTCTTTGTGATTGAGTTACCAGTGTAGGTTAGCCTTAATAGAGAGCTTGTTAGCCGCTCTCGCCAGCGTGTCTGGCCTCTCTTCAACCAGTCGAAGCGTCAGGTGGCTTTACTCATTCTCTGATTCTTTCTCACTTTCTCTTCTTCTTCTGTCTGCTTTGCTGACTCCCTCCAACGGAGAGTTAGACACACTTGACAGTATGTGTGTGTGTGTGTGTGTGTGTGTGTGTGTGTGTTTTGGTTGATGGCGTTTTGATTCATTAGGCAGGACACACTCTTGTCCCCTCATCCCTCTGTTTCAATATACATTGTGTGTGTGTGTGGGTGTGTGTGTGTGTGTGTGTGTGTGTGTGTGCGTTTCTTGCTGCTATTCTATGAAAATGTGTGCGTGTTCTCAAGGTAAGCTCTGAGCCGCTCGGCAGGTGAGCTCCTTTCATCCCTGTCGCGCTTCCCTGCACGGCAGCAACAGTCGTCCCCGGCAACACTGGAGGGAGCCTCGGAGACAAGTCATTTAATTAGAATGAGAGAAGACGAGAGGGAAAGCAAAAGGAAGTTTGAGGAAATGTGCTCACCCCTTAGAGCTTAACAAGAAGGCCCCTAGCAGGGGGTAGGAGTGTGTTTGTGTGTGTCTGGTTCTTTTCTTACACACATTCTCACTTTCAAATTTTTGTGAGCTAGTCAGACGTCCCTCAGAAGTACAGCGAAGTGAGGGTCAGTTTTCTTGGTGCTTACTTTACCAGAGGGATCAGTTTAAGGTTTAGGTTCAGGATTAAAATCTGGATTAGGTTGGTTGGGTTGAGGTTAAGGATAATTTAGGCTCAGGGATGATGGGTTATGATTAGAGGCTTAGTCAGGATAGGGGTTAAAGTTCAGTTAAAATTCACGACTTGGACTACAGAACAGATCAAGGGTTAAGCTAGGATTAGGTGTTTTGGTGTTTCACAATAAAAGCTCCCTTGAAAAGTAAAACAATGTGAATGTCGGTGTAGCTGCATGTAAATGTGTGTGCGCGTGTGTGTGTGTGTGTGTGTATGTTTGTGTGTGTGGGTAAGGTGGGGGGGGGGATGGATGGATCATAATTAATGCTAATTCATGGATAATTCCAGGTAGAATCAATTAGTGACTTGTGAACACTAATGACTGGTGCATGCCTGTGTGTGTTGTTCATACTGTATGTCATTAGCTAGTGTTGCCTGCCTCTGTAAATGAACTCGCTTGTTTGCCGGCTTGCACCACATTCGCCGGGTGCCGTTGGCCTAAATGGTGGACGCTAACATGCATATCGCTTGCTTGATTTGGGTTTCAGGGTGAGAAGAAATAGGAAACCGGACGCGAGGACAATAAATAATTTGTCCTCCTTTCATGAGGGATGTGTGTCACTCTCTTTTTCATGAGCTTGATTATTCATTTCATTTCATCACCTCTTCCAAGTGGACGGTTGAAAGCATTCTTCACAGGCCTTTGGGGGTTCGGGCCTAACAAAGCCAAGGACGCACGCAGACACACACACGCATGCACACGCGCACGCACGCACACACACACACACACACACACACACACTGAGGGGACAGCTGAACTCAGCCTCGTTAGGGGGAAATGCAATCACAAGGGGCTTATCATACAGACAAAAAAACACACACACAGACACACACACCCCAACATACTGAACCTGGTGCCCTCTCTCTGGCAGGCCATTGTATTGTGGGATTGTGCGGACAATCTCTTCATGAATGATTAAGCAGTGTATTTCTCAACCAAGTCTTTGATGATGAGTGTGTGTTTGATCATCAGGCGAGTGTGCAGCACTCTCTGCTCGCGATATTTGTGCGAGCGAGTCAAGGCGTATATTTCGTATGTTTGTCTGTGTTTGTGCGTACTTTGATGTGTGTGATATATGTGAATTTGTGTGTGTGTGTGTGTGTGTGTGTGTGTGTGTGTGTGTGTGTGTGTGTGTTTTGCGCTCCTGTGATGAGCCCCTGTTGATTGTGTCCCTCTCTTAACGAGGCTGCCTACAGCTGCCCCTGCTTGTGAGAAACTATTGTTGGGTCTGTTCAATGGAGAGACGCTTGTTTGGGAAAAGGTTGCAAAGTCATGGGAAAAGAGAGCTTTGTCTCGGCGGGGTCGTGAGGGAGTGAATCATGAGCGGACGTGTTTATAGCTTAAAACACACAGCTGCGGCAAACACACATGCACATACACACGGGTGAAGAAACGGACGCTCGAGAACGCACAGAGGAACCCTCAGAAACAAACGTGCTCTCTTTTTTTTTTTTGTCAAAGGGACAAAACGTGAACAATTCAGAATTTTACTCGCACAAAGCAAATAAACACAGCTGCTTTGCACAGAATCTTAGACACACATCCCACACACACACACAGACGCACACACACACACACTATCACAAGGTCTCTTATCACACAAACTGTGTATGGCTAAACTCTCGGGGGGAAAGGGAATGTGTGTGTGTTTGTGTGTGTGTTCCTTCTTGGACAGGGTGTCTCTTTATGACACAAAGCCCGGCTTTCTCAGCTCAAAACTCAGTGTCATCTGCCTTTACAAAGGCCTGGGCTATTCGTTCCAAGCCACCTGGACTAACATAGAGGCTCCAGTGTAGCACCCAAAAGGACAATACCTCCATTTTTAAGTGTTACATATATACCCACCCATTTTCTCTGGACCTAAAGACGCAGATTCACATTCAAAGGGACATTTTAGTTCATTTACTTTGTAGATGTTATGTCTATATTAAGGCTATTTAAGTTTGTGTACAATCTACATAATTAGATTTGTTGAACATCTTGTTCACAAGAAGGACGCTCCAAATAAGAAGTCAACTAAGTTTGGATTTCCCAGCGTTGCCTGCTGAAAGCAGAGTGAAACATAATCCGTCGTCTTCTGAGGGGAGGAAAAACAAGCTGATACTACACCAAATATGTGCAGACCCAGAAGCCAAAAACAGAGCTAATTCTATGCCGAGTAAAACACTCAAACTTCATTTGTTTTTTCTCTCAGTTATTTTCTGTATCTGTGCAGGATAAGAAGTCAAATATATGGGTTAATATATGGGTTAACTATGTGACTTAACTCAAGAGATGAATTCAAATTCTTATCTGCTAGTGGTTTGAAATGCAGCCCAATGTTCACTACCGTCTGTGATGGTACCGCTGCTGTGGATCAAAAACCTCTTGTCGTCATGGGTCAAGACTTGACCTCATACACAGGTACAAATTACACCCAGTCTAATCAGGGCCAGGTAGGGTTCATTCCTGGTAGATTAATTTGTAACATGAGCTCTGTCTTACTGTTTAAACTGAATCAAATAAATTGATAACTCCCCCTCAACATGGTGGGCTAGGGGTGAGGGACAACCATGAACCTCAGCGTCCCTGATTTGCATCCAGGAATTGTCACTTGGCATCATTTTCTGTCATCTCTCTACCGTCACCACAAAATGCCCCAATTATAAAACAAAAACTGGACTTTCTGTAACCTATTTCATCATGTCACCAGTATCTGAAACAGGAATCCCAAACTAACATTTTTTTAATGCAGGATTGTTGTTGGTCTGAATGTTTAACGTGGGTTAATATGAAGAACTAAATTCTATGGGCTCTGACTTGAAACTATGGAAAAGATCAATTGATTTTAGCTTCTTTCTAAATCTTTCTTGGCCTCTCTTCAGGCTGAGTTGCCTGGTCTGGATTCTGTAAAACACCTTAACAATCACTCACATACACAATGGAATCAACATAAATGAAGTGTCCTTCACCGACAGTTTGATGTGTCAACTTTGATTTATATAATAAAGACTTAAAATGCACATAGCAACCTACCAGTGCCCTGCTTCTGATTTTTCCAAGAAGAGTGACCACTTTTAAATGATTACACAGGTTGTGTATATGTGTGTGTGTTTGTGTTTTAGAGGAGGAGGGGCTATAATAAGTCAACGCTGATTTAGGTCCGAAATGCTGATGGCTGAGCAAAGAAAAGCTGTAACAATCACAATCACAAAACTGTGATTGTTGCAGCCCACAAACACACACACATACACACACACGCACACACACACACGCATACACGCACACACACACACACACACACACACACACACACACACACACACACACACACACACGCACACACCGGCCTCACCTGGATTTGCTGCTGCAGGAGGTTGATTTTGTGTTGCTGCTGCAGAAGCTGCTGCTGTTGCCGGGCAATCTGAGGACAGAGCACACAACACATTGGAATGTATATATAGCATGTGTGTGTGAGTGTGTGAGTGTGTGAGTGTGTGTGTGTGTGTGTGTGTGTGTGTGTGTGTGTGTGTGTGTGTGTGTGTGTGTGTGTGTGTGTGTGTGTGTGTGTGTGTGTGTGTGTTTGGGGTATGTGTGTGTGGGGCCTGGGGGAGATGCGACACATCTGCAGGTCTCTGAGGCCCCAGTTGCACGACAGAGGGTTGATGCCCTGGTATGAAATATTAAAGAGCTCATCTCATCTGGACCCAGCTTATCGCCAAATGAACAAGAGTGTCATACCGACACACTTAATGACGGCATCTTTTCATATAGAAGAGGAAAAATATTTTAAAATAGGTTTCTTTTTGTGTAGGTGACTACTCTCTTCGATTTGAGGATTACATGCACTTCTATAGGTTGAGACCATTCTGAGAACTTTGGCTTTATAAAATATTTTCACCCGTTTGGATGAACACAAAAATACATGAGTCGAGTCATTTCTGTAACTTTAAAAAATATGTGACATATCAAAATGTACCATCTAAGTACAGCCAGCGCCAATATGTAATTTTGATGGAATTTCAATTCATTAGTCCTAATCAGTTTCTTTTTTTGTCATTCTTAATTCGCACATGACAGTATCAGTTAGATTCATAAGATGTGATTAACGTCTGCACAAAAACTCTTCAGTGGTCCATCGAGTGGAACGGAAACAGTAGTCTCCACATACATTACATTCTCATACAGTGTGCACTGGTGCGGGATGCAGCCAATGGCACTGTAAGGCATTGTGTTTGTCACAGGTGATTTGTCCTTACAACTGTGCATGTGTGCGTGTGAGTGTGTGAGTGTGTGTGTGATGTTCTCTTTGTAAGCCGAAGCTTTCCAGAAGCAAAAAAGCACAACAAAGAGGAAAACCCTTCTCTATGCAAATACCTGGCAAAGTCTCGCCTGGGAGCTTGGAGTGTGTGTCTGAGCTACATCCGCTCCAACACTACATACCCTCAGCTCATTGCTGTGCAATGTCCCTGTGTTCAAGCTGCCCAAGGCGCACATCTCTGGCTGCATGAACACTGTAAGAGATTGTGTGTGTATGTGTGCGTGTGCATGTGTGTGTGTGTGTGTGTGTGTGTGTGTGTGTGTAAGAGAAGGTAGAGAAAAGAAAACTCCAGTGTGATTTGTGTTTTTCTTTCATTCCTACCTTTGAGCCCACGTTCTAATGTAAAGCCTAAAATGTGTGTGAAGATTTTTGAAGACCATTTCTGATGTTGAGGTGTATATGTGAATTTGTATGTCCATACGACACACCAAATGACTTGTTAGGATGGATTTGTTTTGCAGCGTAGGCATATATTTCCTAATGAAGCCCTTCCCATGCAGCGTGCTCCCGTACCTGGTCCTGCTGCTGCTTGGCCAGCTCCATCTGTTGCCTCTGCTTCTCCATCTGCGAGGCAGCCAGCTTCTTCTGCTCCTCGTGGGCCGCCAGGAGCTGCTCCCTGAGGCTGCTCAACTGACCAATCATGCCCATGAGCTGGCGCTCTTTCTCCGCCAGGCTGTCTGGGGTACCTATAGGGCAAGAGAGGAGGGGGGAGAAAAGGGGTCAAAGGTGAGATGGTAGCACTTTGAAGAAGAGTGCAAGACTCAGCTGAGGTTACGCTATGAAACTTGAAAGTCTGCTTAGTACAACGTGAAATCCATTGTTACAGTTTTTTGGTTGTTTACGATTTTGCACAGAGAAACTATGATGCTCAGATTTATCATTTATTACTGCTGTAGTGTCCTTCAGCAAGGCACTTAACAAGGCACATATACAATCTGCAATTTGATCGTCTTGAAAGTGGAAACCTCCAACGCCTCTAATTTAAGTTTCTTAAACCACATTATCTCTTTAAGTGAGATAAAGGGACTAATCTGTTGGAATAAGATCAGTGTAGAGAGGATGCTCAAAAGTAAATATGAGCAAAACAAGAAGGTTGGAAATTATACAAAATTTGAAGCTGAGATTCTCAACAAGGTTTTCTCCTCTGTGAGGTTTTCATGGCTATGTGGAGGTCAGAAAAGATTGCGGGGTCGAGGTTAGAGGTCAGAGGCACGAGGGAAACGAGGAAGGAACAACAAAGCAGTGTAAAGCTATCCATGGCTTGTTGGTCAGCTTAATATATGACTGGTTAGGGGTTTTGGACGGTGGGAGGGGGCACGGCAGCGGAAGGTGGGTATATGTGTTGTGAAGTTGTAAAACCAGATGTTGACTCATTTTCCTGGGCACAGAGGGCCAGCAGTGATTACTCAGACCACATCCATCACTGCTGTTACTGCCTTACTGAAATGAAGAGAATGAATCTGGCAATGGAAACATTTGTAAACAGGCAAAATGTGGCGGCAAAACAAATGTAAAATCTGAGCCAGATTCATTCATGTTTAACAAACACAATAAATCTTCAGCCAGGTTTGAAAATTTACATTTCTCACTAAAACTCGAAGAAAAATCAAAATTTATTTGATTGGTGGTGAATTATGGGTAAATTCGAAGATGAGTCTGTTGCTATGAAGCTGTATTTTTGTGTGAATGTGTGATAGTGTATGTGTGTGTGTGTGTGAGAGATAGTGTGTGTGTGTGTGTGTGTGTGTGTGTGTGTGTGTGTGTGTGTGTGTGTGTGTGTGTGTGAGAGAGAGTGTGTGTGTGTGTGTGTGTGAGAGTGTGAATGAGAGAGGAAAAAAAGAGAGCAAGAAAAAGAAGGAGAGTGTGTCTGGTCTGTGTTTATCCTGCAGTCAGCCAACCTCCTGCTCACATTTAGCATGGCCTGACCTTTGACTCCTTAGATCCTGACATACCAGCTCCATTACACACACGCACGCGTGCACACACACACACACGCACGCACGCACGCATGCACACACACACACACACACACACACACACACACACCCACACACACACAACCACACACACACAGACACACATCCACAATTACACATACACAAACACACTTCCACACAAGGCCTAAATCATTCAACAGGATGTAGTTAGAGAGAGGCACACCGAGGCACAATCAGCACAGAGTGTGTGCGCTCATGTCTGGTCATATGTACCGATGTTTGCCTACATGCCTTTGTTGTGTGTGTGTGCGTGCACGTGTGGAGTAGCACAATCCCCCATTGTTCTTCGGCTGCTACCTTTAACAGGGCCACATTCCTGGGCCAGTCAAACCAGATGAGGAAGAGGGAAGGAGAGAAGGAGGGAGAAAGAGAGGGCAGCAGGGAGGAAAAGAAAGAGAGACACAACAGGGGATGTAAAGGGGGGAGTCAGAGCAGGGGATGGAGGGAGTGAAGGTGACGAGCTACGGCTGCTGACCTGCCCTTTGACCGCTCGAGAAGGTGAGAGCCATCCATTTGTCCTCCCTGTTGGTAGCCGCCGCCTCACCCCTCCACCCAGCCCGCCTCCGCTGCCCACCGACACCCCCCCTCCCCCTCCTCCCTCACTTCCCCCCCGCACTCCATCCATCCGCCAACAATGAACAATAAAGGCAACTGTCGGGAGCACTGGCCGCTGGAAAAATAAACACGCCGCTGTCCTAACTCACAGACCCACCTTTGTAGAGCCAGAAAGAGTGAGTGTGTGTGTGTGTGTGTGTGTGTGTGTGTGTGTGTGTGTGTGTGTGTGTGTGTGTGTAGCCAAAGCTGACCAAGACAAGAAAGAGCCTTGTGTTAAAAACGTTAGCCTGTTCAAATGGGGGGTGAAGGGTGGGGAGGAAGGGGGCAAGAGGGAGGGAAAAAAAAAGGATAAGGGGGGTTGCAAAGGTGAAACGATGGATCAAAGGAGTCTTTCTTGTCGGGGTGTTCTTGTTGGGGTTAACCCCCCTTCACACACACACACACACACACACACACATTCTCATGCACATGCACAAATGCAAACACAGTAAAATTGGGTACTTCTGTGCAAAACAGTGCGTATGTGTGTGTTGATGTGGAGGGACATTCTTTCAACCAGCAGCCTGAAGAGTAAGGTGTGAAAAAAGAAGACAAGCAGTCTATTCTTCTTCTACAAGCTGTTCTCAATCCCCCCTCGCAGCTGTGGATCTTTTATCACTAAACTGCGGTATTTGCAGCAGAAGAAGAAGAAGAAGAAGAAGGAGAAGAAGAAGAAGGAGAATCCAAGAAAACAACACGCTTCCTAACTGAGACGAGACTTCCTAACTGAGCTGACCTGTCTCATCTCATTCGGACTCTCAGGTTTTTCTGCCGTCACCCCATAAATCAGCTCGTGTCGGCCTGTTTCCTCAGCCGCTGCGAGGCAGGCAGGCGGATCGATAACTGGTTTCCTCCATCGCTTTACACACATTCCTCCTTAGGCAGATTGCTACGGCCTGTGCTTACCTACAAACCCACCGAACCAACACCGCCCCCCCCCCTCCACTTTTTTTTTTCTCTCATGCACACACACACACACCAACTCATGCACGGCGTAATTAACCAATTTGTAACAATGTAATACTTGTCACCGTGTTCGCGGTGCTAATTAATGACCTCAGCTGCATTGATAACTCCCCCCACGCCCCCCCCTGGTAGGGAGGGAGGAGTGGGGATGAGATGGCAGAGGTGGGAAGGAAGGAGGGAGAGGAGTAAAAAAAAAAAAGGATAAGACACAGTCATGAGAGGTGGGGGAGAGAGGATGGTGAAGGAAAGATAAGAGAAGAGGAGGCCGGAGAAGTAGACAAAACAGGCGAGAAAAGGTACAAGGATGTAGAGAGGAAAAAAAAACAGTCTGGAAGTATAATTAGTACACTGAGAAGTATATTTACATGAACACGATAACCTAATTACTGTAAATAATTAAATTGAGTTAATATTAAGGTAATAAAATTAAGGTTTGATTAAAGCACATACTACATGGTTTGCAGTAATCTGATTTTCCCAGTAATTCAAGCTTACATGATTTGTTTGACTACAGGATTGGCTACATGATTTGTAGCCTGCAGACAGGGTCTTACTTTTGCTGTTTATTGCTTTTTGTCTTGATGATTTTACAGAGCATCTTTGTCAGTGTTATTTGTTAACATTACGAGGAGTTTTTGTCTGGCTACAACACTGTTATATACCACGTCTCTCCGCTCATCAATAGAGTAAAAAATTGAAAAAATAATGCTTTAAATAAAATAATAAAAAGTAGGTCCCTACATTGGGATATATTGAAGTAGTTAGTAGGTTATGGCAGAGTATTGAATTGGTATTATCTGTTTATTAAAAAATAAATGATCTGTTTTCATGTAATGTAAACAGGAAAATTGGAAAGGAACCAGTGTGAATCAGATTCACTTCCAGTAAAGCACAAAGTTTGCAGTGGGTTTTTTCTACAATTTCTATTTATTGTAATGCTGCTGAGTCAAATTAGAGTCATTACTGGCTCCACATACGTAACTTTAGATGATAAATACTACTCACACTCACACACTTTATTTTTGCTCTCTCACCTAATGACACTGTGCCATTGAGCAATGCAGTTAACCCCGCACCTCCTCCTAACAGACTGCTCAGTGGGACGCAGCAGACTGTGTATGTGTACACACGCCAGATACAGTGGTGTGTACATGTTTGTGCAGCCAAGCTTTACTCAAGCCCAAGTTTCATTTTAAATTATAGCAGAGATTTCAAATGTTTCAAAAGTTACCAGACATGGCCGCATAATTTGGAGGATATGTGAACAAAAAGATGCAAAAGACATCACGAATATTTCTATTTGATGGATAGGTGCAACCGTAAAAAGTCTCGGGTCTTCAGTTTAAGTATGAGCCATGGTGTAAACATCACACAGCTTTAATTAAGTGCTGAAACGAGCTGATATACAGCACCTATACTGTATATGTGAAAGTGTTGTACAGTGTGTAAAGGGGGCAATTTAAAGGTGAAAAAAAGTGCTTAAGAGGTGAATCTTTACTGTCACTTTTGTGGGTGTACATGTATATGTGTGTGTGTGTGTGTGTGTTTTTCTATGTGAACCACATGGGACCAATGTTGCTTCCCAATAAGGTCGACAGAGCGGGAGGTGGTGGCTCAAAATCACTTTGTTCCCCACAAAAAGCTCTTCAATGGAATTCGATGGGGGAAAAAAGTCAAGGGATATGCTGACAAATGAGAACAGTGCGCGCGTGCATACACACACACACACACACACACACACACACACACACACACACAATATTAACGGAAACCTGTGTATGAACACTTGGCACATGTACATGTTCAAACTCACAGACACACAGTTATTATGTAAGCACTGTTTAAGACACACACACAGGCAAGTGACATACATGCGCTTGCACTGCGCACACACACACACACACACACACACACACACACACACACATGCTCTCATACATACGCCTGATATTGCTCCCCAGCTGTTGGTGTGTGGTGCGCCAAGCGGGACGCCCCTACACAGAAATGTCAGCGCGGCGGGGAGCTGGGAAAAGGGGGTTTGATCAATGGAGCCCCCCTCTCGATGGCCACGCTGCTCCACAAGGCTCTTTGATTACATATTGCTTTGCTTCCTAATGAAGCTCAATTACTGGTGGAGAACGACAGCTTTGCCCTGGAGTTATACGGAATAATAGCCAGTCTCTTCCACCTCTCTCTCTGCTTCTCTCACATCTTTTTCCCCTCGCTTTCTCTTTCGCTCTGGCTGATTCTCGCTCCTGCATATTCACAGCGCAGCTCCCTTGTTGCCTTCTTGTTTCACTTCCTGTGCCCTGTCCTGGTCTGTCTGTCGCACTGTCGGATGTTAAGAAGGACTGGTGTGGATAAAATTAACACAGAGCTGATGGACCGACAGGGACGTCACTGACTTTTTGGCTTGTTCGTCAAACACACCAGACACAGCCGCCAGCTTGGTTCAGTTCAGGGCAGCTCAGTTCATTTGATTTCAGTTCAACTGAACTGAGTCTCTTTCTGTTTATTTCAGTTTAACCAGTTTTTAATCAGATTAGGAAATCTTATATAAAAAAAAAATCTTTCAGTGTTTTCCAGCATGTCAAGTAGTTGTCGACATTCAGCTAATATGTGTATATACATGAAACAAAGAGAGTTTCAATGCTGAAGAAATATTATCACCCACTCTGAGACTTAATAATATTAAAAAACATACTTACAATAAAGTGTTTAAAAAGCAAATGTTCATGGATTTTTGCCACACCTATTGGTTCCAACAGGGTTTCTGATGTAAACAGGAAATATAATGTTGCCGTGGAATCAGTAAATTAGCGATGGGCTTTACTCGAACTATGTTTTTTTCCCACTTATTTTTTAACAGTCTGGCACCACAAACAAAAAGTCATGCTAAATCAGCTACTTGCAGTTTGTTTGGACTGTAACCATGGATACAAACAACAACCACCTGAATTACTTTTGATACTGAGGAGAAAATCTTAACTTTAAAATATTGCGGGAAGATATAGAGTTCAAATGAGATTTCCAAATAGATTTGTGGACATTTTCTATTTATTTTTATCGATCAAGTTCAAAAAGTTAATTTAAGAACTCACTTAAATTTAGTTTTGTTGCTATTTAGTTGTACTGTACCTTTAATTTCTCCAATGTGCCCTGAGCCCATGGCCAAAAGTTTATCCTTCCAGTCCTTCGACAACAGCCTCTCAATGCTGGGGGCCTCTGTTTAGGGGAGGAGGGGTTGGGGGGGGGCAGAGGAGAGAGAGAGAGGGATTCAGTTGGCTGGCCAACATGACAATAAAGCTCATTTAAAGTCCATTTGCTGTAATAAAGGCAGCGGCAGCTCAGCCTAATGGCCGCATCAGCAGGAGAGAGAGGGAGAGAGAGGGAGAGAAAGGTGGAAAGAGAGAAGCTGATAATCGAAAGAGAGGAAATCTGAAGAACAAAAACAAGTGAGCAAAAGGGAACGAGCGAGAGAGGCAACGCAAGATAAAGAGAGAGACAAGTGGAGGAGAGAGGAAAAGAGGAAAAGAGAAAAAGAGAGAGAGGCTTTTTCCCTCTCACCTGCTGCTAGAGAATCATTAGCCCTGTGGGCCCTGAGACAAAGAGGGCCTTAATGCACCCGCCACAATGGACACATTATCAGCTAGCGCTTTGTTTTCAACACACACTCCACAGACACTTGTACACACAAACCCCTGCACAAACACACACATGTGCACACAAACCCGCAGAATCACTAATTACAATCCTAACTATGGTCACACTCACACATGGATGTTTGTGCACACACACACACACACACACACACACACACACACACACACACACACACACACACACACACACACACACACACAATGTGGGAAATGGAAATGCCACACAAGAGAGCACGCACATGGAGACGAGAGCACATATATGCACTAATCGCAAACACACTCACACACACACACACACGTTCACATAAATGCTGCCATCAACCCGGTTACCCTGTTGACTGTTATTGACATGAACAAAGGGAAACAGGAGAAATGATGAGAAAAAAGACGACTGAAAGTGTGAGGCAAGAGGGTGAGAAAGAGAGTGAGAGAGAGAGAGAGAGGGAGAGAGAGAGAGTATTCTATTTACTGGGAGCCATCTGCACTTGGGATGTGAGGCCTTGCTAAGGAAAGAGGTTTTACACTTGGAGTGGGGTGATTAACCCTATCAGCCAACGCAAACACACACACACATGAATGCACAAACACCCACAAAACACACAGATGCATGCACAACACGCACAGTTGAATGCACTTATATATGTAGCTGCATACACAGGCATACTATGTACACAGTGGCAAATGCTGATGGCAGGCGAGAAGTTTGTTTGTCCCTGGATTATTTTTTTTCTATAATGACATGACTGATTTTTTTTTTTTAAAGTCTTAATCTCACTGGTATGAGACATCTTGCTTGCACAAACACACACACACACACACACACACACGCTGTGACACAAACACTAATGCTCTCCACAGAGAGAGAGATGTCCGGTGTGTTAAGTTGAACAGCTTAGTGCTTTTTCTGCACTAAGTGAGACACACTCAACAACAAATTAAAGTACTTTTACCCATCATCCACACACAAAAAGCACAACTTCTTTCTTTTCTCCTCATCCCTCTATTTTTCTTCCCCCGTCTGTGATGGAGTGAATGTGGAGAGACGAGGAGGAGAAAGCACCTGGAGATTTTTCAGGATTTAAAACGACACATGATCACGCACAAACAAGGAGGCATGCGAGAGAGTCGAGCCGCACAAGCCTTGCTCAGACACACACACAAAACGCTGCAGCGTGTCCTACATACTGTTCCTCGGTTTGTGTGTGTGTTTGCGTATGTGCCTACAGCCTCCCCAGAGGCCTGAATCAGGTCCTTTTCCTCTGGCTTTAAGACTGGAGCATTCACGCTCCGCTGATTACAAAGCACACACATTCGCAAACACACAAAGACAAAGATCAATACTGAACTTCCAGCCAGTCCATCTCTCACTTTTTCTATTTCTCTTCCCACCGTCCTTGGACTCTTGACTGGTCTGTCCTTGCGTTTTCGACGCTGCCACTCACCCAGTTAGTCAGCAACCGAGTTTCAGCGCCGCGTTCCCTGACGTGCCCTAGTGCTTTCTAGCCTTCAGGGAATAGGTTAGCGGTGGGATGAAGGTAGGAGGAGGAGGAGCAGAGCTCAGACAGACGGAGAATCTGTTGCAAAAACAGGGAGGAGGGAAAGACACACGTAGAAAGAGTAGAAGAAGAGTGTGCGCCTGTGTTTTTTTCCCCCACCATGACAGCTGTCTCACCATCACCCCAACAGGTGCTATTAGCCCCTGGCACTCCTTCTCTCCCCCTCTTTCTCTCTGTCTCTCACTCTCATCTTTCCCTCCAGCCCCCTCTCCCTCAACAATGACAGAGGCTTTTAAGCCAAAGAGCTTTGACAAGTGAGAGGGAACAACAAATGGCAGTGTCGCCTGTTCTCTTTCCATTGCACTCCCTCTCTGTCTCCATCTCCTAGTTATTATTTTTATTTATTAACAGGGCTGCAGCCATTGTCCCCAGTGACAGGCCGGGGCCACTTTAACTATTAATAAAAGCCAAGAGGCTCTTTCATTGTGCGGCGGATGGCAAAATGGGAGGAAATGGGGAGGAGGAGTGGAGAGGGAGAGGGAGAGGGAGAGGGAAAGGGAGAAGGAGAAGGAGAAGGAGAAGGAGAAGAGAAGAGAAGAGAAGCTGTAGCTGTAGAGATGTTGATTGATGGGGTAAACACTATGAGAAATGAACCCCCACTGTCACCTGTGATAAACTACAAACACACATCAACACATGCATACACACTCACAAACTTGTGCATCAGTTAAAAGGTGTGTGTTGGACATCCTGAGACAGAAAAAAACAAGTCTCTCCCATGCATTAGCTTCTCATCATGGTTGTTTGGGCATTAGCTTGGTGCATTAGAATACACCCGACTTCCAAGTGCATTTCCCTGTTTCCATCTTTCTATACGAATATGAAATACGGCCGCCATTACCTGACACTGCACAACAATAACAATGTCTGCTGCAAAACAATTCGCTTTCCACTTCTCTCACATTCAAGGATTTATTTGCTTCACCTCAGCACCGGATTCACATTTCATGTTCTGTAATATTTCAAGAGGTTTCATAAAATTCACTTGACAGTTGGATGGAAACATAGCAAGCATCTATTACTGCTAATTAAGGCCAAAAATCATGTAATAAAGGAGGACAGCACAACACTTTCCATGAGAATCAGAGAAGCTACTCCCTGTTCTTGTGACGTATGGGATGCTGAGTGTTTGTGTGTGTGTGTCTCCGTGTGTGTTTGTTAGAGTTCTGTGAGGTAAGCGGGTGGAGTTTGGTGCCCACGCAGGGGTGTGGGCCGCATTTTTGCAGGGTGGGGTGTTGGGAGCCAAGGGCGAGGGAGGATACTGGCCTCCCCCTTGACAAGAATGAAGGGGTGAGGGAAATTAATAGAAGAGGGAGAGAAAGGAAGTGTCAGTGTTGAGCTGCACAGGGCGCTGAAGGTGGGAAAATATGTGTTTTCTCATGTTAACCCCTTTGAAATACATTTTCATCCTTTCTTTTCTTTTCCCCTTCAGTTGCTTTATGGTTAGAATCATTTCATACTGTCTGTACACATCACATATGCTATATCAGCTTGTTCTAGCTCCATATTAAAGCTATATAATGTTTACACTGAGTAAAATATCAAAACCCAGCGCTCTAAATGTCTCATGCGTCATTTTTTATGCATCTGGCATCTTTGGGAACTTTGGTCCTGGACAGGTCAGAGAGGTTTAAGATGTTTTAAAAACCATCCTTTCTTGTTTTGACAGTGCCGTACATATGACTGTGAATCCCGCTGTCGCACTTTCATGCGAAAGCACATTAATTCGTCTAAGGGTGATGTTCCGATTCCGATCGTGCACGGCTGAGAGGGATTCTGGGAAAAGCAGAGGGGGGAAAACGCTGACAATAACTCTGGAATTGTCGGCTATTATTTTGGCTCATTGGCTCAAACGGAGTCAAGCTGCTGCCCTGCAGCCGAGCCAAAACAACCCCGTCCACCTGCCGAGAGAGGGAGAGAGACAGAGAGTGAAGCAGTGTGTGTGTGTGTGTGTGTGTGTGTGTGTGTGTGTGTGTGTGTGTGTGTGTGTGTGCGTGTGTGTGTGAGTGTGTGTGTACATGTGTGTGTATGTGTGTTAGAGCGAGCCCCCATCCGGCTTTTGGATCCACAGTGAGCTTTTGGTTCAGAAGCTGCTGGAGAGAGAAGGAAAGAGAGAAAGAAAGAGAGATGGGAGGAGACTCAACCTCAGTTCAGCTCGCTCCGACCAACCTCACAAACAATACCATCTCTCTCTCTCTCTCTCTCTCTCTCTCTCACTCACTTTCTATTTTTCACTCAGACGTTTTGCCCTGAGTCACCACAAGCAGCCAGCTCTATTTTTCCTATTATCTCATATTTGTGAAGCCTGTAGACCTTTAGAGGAAAAGGGAGGGAGGGATGGCGAGGAGAAGGAGAGGGAGGTGGTGGTGATTGGGTGTGGTGGGGGGGGGACGTGTGGAAAGAGAGAGAGAGAGAAAGAAAGAGAGCAGAGGAAAAGAGAGAGAGAGGGAGTGAGAGAGAGAGAGCCCGGGCTCTCGGGTACACAACAAAGGGGCCTCTGTGCCAGCGCCAGGCCCAGCCGGGCTCAGAGGAGGGTGGAGGATGAAGGAGGAGAGTGAAGATGAGGAGGCGGAGGAGGAGGAGGTGGGCCCACAGGAAAGGGCCCTGGCTTGGGACCCGTGGCCGGCCCTTATATCCCGAAAAACAGACTCCACATTGACTTGGGCCTTGGCAGTCATGGGGAGGCTCCAGCTACTCCCCCCTTCCTTCTCCTTTCTCCTCCTCCACCCCACCCCCCAAACTGAGCAGGGGTCAGCATTGAATAAGCAATTATACAAGCACTGGTGGAGTTTGTCTAAGACTGCCACCCTGAACACTGAAGTATTGAGATGGAGGGAAGGAGTAACAGAGAGAGCGAGGAGCAGAGATGTGCGGTGACTTTAGCTGGCGGCCATGACAGAGACAGAAAGAGTATGTTTACATGTGACCTAAAGATTAGCTTGTAACAAGATTAAGATAAATCGCAGCAACTGTCATGTAAACACCTTAACCAGGTTATCTTAAGTTA